GGGCTGTTTTTGGGCAAAGGAAGGATTAAAAATGAAAGGGGACAACGGGAAAACTTGAAGTATATATAAAATACAAGAAGCAATTGGGCCCAAAAAATTTAAGGAAAAAGAGAAAAAAAACATTTGAGATTCTGCTGAGGTAAAGGCTCTACAAAAAGGCCTCCATATACGTAAGAAAAGCAACTAATAACATTAGAGTTGGACGTGGACTCATTAAACTTGGCAAACATTATAAGGACAAAGCAGAAGGTCACTATGCAAGCAGCATAAATTATACTTGCAAACTCTATATGCTTATGCCATTTTTTTAATAATAAAAATAAATTTAGTATAGTTTTCTTTCTATCAAAATAATTCAGATGTAACGAGTCGAAAAATTATTTCTTTTTAGTCCATTTTATATCATTTAGTACGAGCTACATAACGAGTATAATATTGATATATTTTATAAATTTTCTATAATATTTAAATACTCAACCCTAGATAAAAGTTACTATAAATTTATATACCTAACACAATAAATCGTTTTTCAACTAGGTGGGCTAAACTTATCATATTAACATTTAGACCTTAATGTAACAACAATGTTAGACATGGGCTATCTCATTCGTAAAATGATCAATATTAATTTTTTTGTCCATATGAAAATATAATTAAAAGTCGGGGCGTCACATCCTTTCCCCCTAAAAATAATTTTGTCTTCGAAATTACCTTATTTAGCCGAAAAGCTCGGGATACTTGGCTTTTATTTCTTCTTCTTTCTCCCAAGTGGACTCATTGATTCCATGATTTTTCCATTGAACTTTAACCAATGCGACTTCTTTATTTCTTAATGCATGTACTTTCCTTTCGATAATCTCCAAAGGAGTCTTCTTCATATGTTAGATCTTTCTGTACCTCCAATGAATCATAGCTTATCACATGTTCGGGATCATGTACATACTTTCTAAGCATCGACACGTGGAATACATTATGTACTACTGATAGTCTAAGTGGCAATGCTAGACGGTACACTATATTCCCAATTCTATCTAGAATTTCGAAAGGACCTATATATCGTGGTCTCAACTTTCCCTTCTTGCCAAATCTAAGAATTCCTTTATGGGTGCCACTTTTAGAAACACTCTCTCACCGACTTCAAATTCTATCGATTTTCTCCGTAAATCTGCATAGCTCTTTTGTCTATCTTGAGCATACTTTATTTTGTCCCTAATTTTATCAATTGCTTGCACTGTCCTTGCAATAATCTCTGGACCCAAAATTCGTTTTTCTACGACTTCATCCCAATGAACTAGGGATCTACATTTTCTACCATAGAGAGCTTCATAAGGAGTCATGCCAATAGTAGTCTGAAAGCTATTATTGTATGTAAACTCCACTAATGATAGATGTGACTCCTAACTACCTCCCAAATCCAAGACACATGCTCGGAGCATGTCTTCTAAGATTCGAATAGTCCTTTCAGACTGTCCATCAGATTGAGGATGGTAGGCAGTGCTGAAATTTAATTTTGTCCTCATAGCTCCCTACATGCTCTTCCAAAATTTAGAAGTAAATCTTGGGTCTCGATCTGAGACGATGGATGTTGGAATTCCATGCAGCCTGACAATTTTCTTAACATATAATTGAGCAAATTGATCCATACTATAGTTCATTCTTATTGGAAGGAAATGAGCGGACTTTGTCAACCTGTCTACAATTACCTAGATGGCATCGTGTCCTTTCATTGACTTAGGAAAACCTACTACAAAATCTATGGCTATTATTGTATGTAAACTCCACTAATGATAGATGTGACTCCCAACTACCTCCCAAATCTAAGACACATGCTCGGAGCATGTCTTCTAAGATTCGAATAGTCCTTTCAGACTGTCCATCAGATTGAGGATGGTAGGCAGTGCTGAAATTTAATTTTATCCCCATAGCTCCCTACATGCTCTTCCAAAATTTAGAAGTAAATCTTGGGTCTCGATCTGAGACGATGGATGTTGGAATTCCATGCAGCCTGACAATTTTCTTAACATATAATTGAGCAAATTGATCCATACTATAGTTCATTCTTATTGGAAGGAAATGAGCGGACTTTGTCAACCTGTCTACAATTACCCAGATGGCATCGTGTCCTTTCATTGACTTAGGGAAACCTACTACAAAATCCATGGCTATTTGCTCCCATTTCCACTCTGGAATTTCCAATGGATTTAATGATCCTGATGGCCTTTGATATTCTGCTTTAACTTGCTGACATACCATACACTTCTCAACAAAGAGACCAATCCCCCTTTTCATATTCCGCCACCAAAAGGTATCGTAGAGGTCTCGATATATTTTAGTACCACCGAGATGTATAGCGTATGGGGCATGGTGAGCTTCCTCTAATATTTCTTTTCTTATCCCTTCATCCTTTGGTACACATAATCTTCCCTCGAACATCAAAGTATTGTCCTCCGCTATTGCAAAACCTTTTCTTTTAGTCGTATCAACTTCCGCCTTGATTTTTCTCAAGAATGGATCATTGTCTTGAGCATCCTTGATTCGTTCCCTAAGGGTAGGTTGTATCTTTAATGCTGAAATTTTTGCAGTAACTTGAGTTGGTGGAATGACAACTTCCAATTTCAATTTATCAAACTCCTTTATCAACTGCACTTGAGTTATGGATAAGGCAGCTAGTTGTCCTACTGTCTTCCTACTAAGAGTATTTGCGACTACATTAGCTTTAACCGGATGGTAATAGATAGTGCAATCATAATCCTTAACTAACTCGAGCCACCTTCTTTGTCTCATATTTAGATACTTTTGAGTGAAGAAGTATTTCAAACTCTTATGATCTGTATAGATTTCGCACTTTCCCCGTAAAGGTAGTGACGCCATATCTTTAGAGCGTGTACTACCGCTGCCATCTCTAGATCATGCGTAGGGTAGTTTTGCTCATATTATTTTAATTGTCTAGAGGCATATGCGATCACCTTCCCAAATTGCATCAGTACACATCCCAAACCTTGTTTGGATGCATCACTGTATATAACAATTCCATCTGAACCCTCTAGTATAGCTAAAACTAGAGCTGTAACCAGTTTCTGTTTCAATTCTTGGAAGCTCTCCTCACATTTCTCAGTCCACTGAAATTTTACACCCTTTATGGTTAATTGGGTCATTGGCCCGGCTATTTTGGAGAATCCCTCAACGAATCTCCGATAATAACCGGCTAGTCCCAAGAAACTACAACTTCGCCTACATTTGTTGGTCGGTACCAGTTTGTTACCGCTTCAACTTTACTAGGGTCCGCTTCAATTCCTTGTACCGTAACCACATGACCAAGAAAAACTATACGATCAAGCTAAAATTCACATTTCTTGAATTTAGCATACAACTTCTCCCTTCGTAGTGTCTCCAACGCTATTTTGAGTTATTCTTCATGTTGATCCTTATTCCTTGAATACACCAAAATGTCACCAATGAAGACAGTGACAAATTAATCTAAATACTGGTGGAATACTCTATTAATTAAATCCATAAATACTGCAAGGGCATTTGTTAATCCAAAGGGCATTACTGTGAACTCATAATGACCATAGCGAGTTCTAAATGCTGTCTTTGGAATGTCATTTGCCTTCACCTTCAACTGATGATAGCCCGACCTCAAATCAATTTTGGAAAATACTGTTGCACCCTCCAACTGATTAAAGAGATCTTCAATCCGCGGAAGAGGATATTTGTTCTTGATTGTCAATCGGTTCAGTTCCCTATAATCAATACATAATCTCATTGATCCATCCTCCTTTTTCACAAACAAAATCGGTGTGCCCCGAGGAGATGTATTTGATTGGATGAAACCTTTATCCAACAACTCCTGCAACGTATCTTTAATTCTTGTAGTTCATTTGGCACCATCTTGTATGGAGCTCTTGACAATGGAGTTGCACAGGTATGAGATCAATTGTAAACTCCAATTGCCTATCTGGTGGCGCGCCAGGTAAATCTTTAGGAAATATATCAATGAAATATCGTATTATCGGCACATTATCAATCGTAAGCTCCGACTGTTGAGTTCCATGTATACTCACTAGAAATCCTTGACAAGATCTTTTCTTTAACATCTTTTCTGCTTTCATGGCCGACACGAGTCGAGGTAAAGACTTAACTCGTACAGCGAAAAATTGAAACTCATCCTCCCCAGGCCTCTGAAAAACTATTTCCTTTTCGAAACATCGAATGGTTGCGTGATTGCTTTCCAACAAGTCCATTCATAGAATAATGTCAAAGTCTTTCATGTCTAGGAGGTGTAGATCAACTACAAATTCTTTTCCTTCCATTACTAATTTTACTGCCCTAGCGATCTGATTGGTATTCAAAATTCTACCGGATGAAGAAAAAATAATTTCGAGTTAGTCATCCGAGTTATTCTAATAAAAAGAAAAGTGTTAACTTTTAATATTTTATTAATATATATATAGTAAAATAAAATAAAAAGGGCGTAACTTTCAGGTAAGAATTTAAGAAGATTTTAACAATAATTATCATTAACTTTTGATAATAATAATTAACATAATTAATTCTTAATTAACGTGAAATGCAGTGGTTGAATTATGTCTCCAACGTTTGAAGTCCTCAAAGGTTACGAGTGAGTGACTTATTTAAAGTGTGAGGTAAGAGAATATTTTGTTAGAAAATTTCATAAGTCCATTTTTATTTTAACACACAAACACTTTATTCAGTTCCACATTATCATTTCAAATCACTTTTCCTTCACAATATTGGGTGTTAACTGAGGTAAGAATACATCGTGCAAAGTGGTAAATTCTTATTTCTTAACGTTTGTATAATTTTGGCATAAAATGCTATGAGGCCTTTGGGTCGAACTCTATATTAAATTCTTCGGGATGGACCGTTAGGTCAAAGATGTTAAA